AAACTTAGATTTCACTTTACCCCAAACCTAAACCTAAAGCTTAATATCCTTGTGAACAAGGTAGATGAAAGGTTCCTAACACCTTCATTTCGTCTAATTGAGTATGAAACCTAGAATTTATGTCTGCGAATCAGGGTTTTCTGTTAGATTCCCTTCCCTAGGATAAAAACTAATAGTAGCGACTCTGATTTAAAAACAAGCTGCAAAACTGTGATGTTGAAATCGCGACGAAGTTCTGCGGGGAAGAAAACAAAATCATCAGAATAAAGAGATTGGAGCGTCTCATTTCGTTGCGGCCGTGGTTGTGTTGCGAGATTGACGAAGAACGTTAAGAAATCAGCGAAGAAACAGGGACGGAGGAGATTGAGGTGCTAGACGGAGGCGGTGGCCTTGATGTCTTCACGGTGGCATTAAGGCAGAAGAGGAAGCGAAGGCGGTGAGACTGAGCAGAGAGATTTCGCTGCAATGGTTGATGGAGAAGGAAGGTTGTACCATGGAAGTTGAACAACCACAAACTATAGTGTATCCAAACGCATCTATAGTGTATCCAAACTCATGAGTTTTATTATTTTCCATTTAAATTATTCCTTTTTTTTTTGTCATTTAATTTGAATAACAGATAGCAAAAAAAAATTTCAAATTGGATTATGTTGAGGAGTTGCTGGGAGAATTTCAAGCCTTTAGGCCCATTAGTTGTCTTTTGGTGGGGATAGTTAGTGGCCTTGAAAACAAAAGAAGATTTGTGGGCTCAAAAGTTTTATGAGCTTAGCATCTAGAGTTCCATTGCTGGGTTATACACCTGCATGCAATTGTACAGCCTCGTGTTCATAGTCTCTAGGTTATTCTTTAATTCTCTTTTATCATGTTTTGTTAATAGAATTAGTGAATTTTAGGAGATAATAGAAAATGCTAATTAGGAATATATTAGAATAGAATTTGATTTCTTTTTTATATTCCTTATGTGAAAAATCCTAGAAAATAGTATAATGTTTTAGATTTCTCTTTAGAATTTTATTGGAATTTTCTATTATTACTTTTATGTTTGGTAATCATTTTTGTTGTCGTTTTTAGCCAAGATTTTGTGATAGAATATCGATGTAACTTTCCAACGTGGAATGCTTGGAGAATAATTCTTTGATCATTTGGGCGAAGCAGCTTTGGTAGATTTTTCTTATCGCTTGCGTGATTTTGAAGAGGCAATGGACTTTCTCCATTCGGTATCATCGTGACCTTTATTTTATCCCTCATTTCTGCGCTTTATCGTATTTCTTTACCGCTTTTCTAGATACCATGAGAAGTAGGAAATAAAGAGCGTGCGCTCGAAGTCGTTGTTTAAAGACCTGTAGCAGGCATTCCACACTTCATTTGTTATATGTGTTATGCTTATGTTTGTTTCTTTGGTTTTTGATCAATGAGTCACTCAATTGATTAATTGAGATCACGACTTCGCTCTCAGTGCATGCTCCCTATAGGATTTTATTTCTTTCCTTTATTTCCTGTTGATCGATGAGTCACTCAATTTAGAAATTGAGATCACGACTTCGCTCTCATTGCATGTTCCCTATAGGATAGTTTTGTTAAACTTTCTTTGGCATGCTAACTTAGATAGGATCTCTCTAGGTGTGATCTCTTGAGCTTATTAGCTTGTTTGCTTTATCCTTATACATACCATGTTCCCTTAGGATGTGTTTGCTCCCTTCGGACGCAAGTTAGACCTTAGGTTGCAAACCATGCATGCTAACATTAGGTAGGAATTTCCCCTTTCATCCTTGACATAGGGCTACCATTGTATGATAACATTGGGTTATAAATAGGTTAGTCTCCCTTAGACTCTTTTCTTCCCTTTTTGCATATGCATCTAAAACTAAAACTTTTTCTTTCGCAAATCATAAAACATGTTAATCTCACTTAAACCCTTTTTCAAGGTAACAAAATACAAACCAACTCAAACCTTTTGTACACCCAAACACCTTTTCTATAAAACCATTTTTTAAGTAAGGAGATGATTAGCTTACTTTTGTTCCAACGCATAAGTCTCCAAAGGTCGAGCTGTGGCAGAAAGCGGAATTAGCATAGTCCATAAAAAACACAAACAAATAAAGCATGTGAGCCGAACTACGGTAGCTCTGATTCCTCAAAAAGGATACGTAGGCATTGGGGTAGGGTCCAAGTGAGTACAACTTTATTTACCCTACATTTTTTCTCCTTTCTATTGCATGCATTATCCCTTTAGAAAAAGTAAATAGTAAGCATAGATTAGACACACCCATAAGATAGATAACAAGAGTGGATACCGTAGAGTACTACGAGCGCGTGGGGTGTTAATACCTTCCCCTCACGTAATAGACTCCCTTACCCGATCTCTCGGTTGCAAGACCGTGACTTCTCCTTTCTCAGGTTTTCTCGATGTTTACCTTTCCCTCCATATGAGATAAAAGACGTTCAATAGCGACTTCATTGTTTGATGATTTTTAGCCAGTTGTTTCATTTATGTATGCAATGCAAACAACATCTCCGATCAATGCATGTGATATCATTTTATGGACATCAGAGTTATGTTATCAATATTCATCCACTCATTACGATTCTTCTTCGAACTTGCTCCTCTTAAAACCGTAACTCAACATTTATTCCTGCTTCAGAATCAACGACCCATACTTCTCAACACGACACATAATGCGTGGCATACAGATGCAACAACACTCATGATTCCACTTAGAACGATACACAACTGCACATTAAGGCAATCATAGTAGTTTCCACTCCAAACAACACATCTCAACATCAATAACATATAATTATATTCATCATCACATAATTATACCAGTAGTTCACAACTCATACACATAAATATAATTCACAATATATAATTATGTAAAACTTCTCAAATTTTATTAAATTCATCAAATATTTTATCTTAGCATAAAATTAAAGGTCATATAATTTTTCATCAATAATCATCTCAACATCAACATCAACATCCCTCCTAATGGGGAAGTCAACCACAACAATAAAAACAAAATGTTTTCCTCGCCATTAACCGAAAATTAGTGTTATACAATAAATAAAATCGTATAATCATGTTCTCAAGTACATAATTAACTTCTTAGGACCTTACCATGAGGTAGTACTACGCATTAGCTTTCAAATGATTCAAACCGCACCTCAAATGGAACCACTGAACTCAAGTAATGATGAAAACAAAATTAGAAGAATTTCGCTACTGGAGTGTCTCTCTACAGGAGTCCCTCCCTTACTATGTGACGACTCGCTAAGCGTGGACACACAGATCTGCAAACCCATAATTGCGATTTTCACCACTCGAGTACTTTCGAAGCTCCGATTTCGATCCTATAAAAACTAGTTCGCTCAGAATTTCATCTAACATCCAACATACATAATTTCAAACATAAGTTGAACATATTAATCATTTATGTCATCAATTCTTTGCAAATCTAAGGATATATTTATCAAGCCAACAATCATGAACATAAGCATCAAAAATTCAGATTGCACATATACATCATACACAATCTAGACAACATAACAGAGCATGAATTTCATATCAATTGTAACAATAAAATAGTTTTCACATAAACCTCAACCAAACATACAAATCTCAACAATGAAAAAAACCTAGATGATAGTGAGGATCTCTCTACCCTTCATGCATTTGACACCAATATTAAATAATCTGTCTTACCTTAATTTCTAGCAAAGATCCAAACTCTAGCTATGGTTTCCTCTTTCTCACTAACCTTTACATTTGCCTCTTCTCATAATTGCTCTTTTTCCGAATTCTTTCAACTTCACGTGCTGACAACTCCAAGGCTCCACTAATCATCTTATTAATAATAAACTTAATTTTATATTTTAATTATTTCACATTGGCCCCCAACTTGTCTCAAATTTTCACACAACTTTATCCTATATTTTCGTTATTCCTAATTTCCACCCAATTTCCATGTTTCTCCTATTTTTCTAATTAATATAATTAAATAAAATTTTTAAAAATTCTAATAAAACTAACAAATACCAAATAAATCACATAAATCATTTTATCAACCAAATAATTAAATAAGAATCAATTTCAATCAATTTAAAATAAAAACCAATCTATCCAAGAGTAGTTCCGATGTTCTGCAAAGACTTAGATCTGAGTCCTAAGAATTATAAATATGTCAATATCGTAATAGAATGAGAGAGAATACTCTAGAAAGTACAGAGATACAATAGCTTCTCACATCATGTGAGTTAAGCTTTCAATACCACAACAATCTTAAAGTCTATGACATCCCTTATTCACTATGAGTTATTACGCAATTGTATGTTTAACAAGTATAATATTAAAAAAAAAATTAAATTGTTTATCATTAATTTAATATTAATTATATAGAAGTAAAAAATATTCATAACTAGTATTTAAAATAATTAGTATAAAATAAAATAAAAATTTACAACCTAGTAGACAAATATTTATCATTAATAAATATGAAAAACATGAAACAATCTACTAGAGAAATATTTATTATTAATAAATATAAAAAATACAACTATACAATATAATATAGAATAAATGACATTTTTTATTATAAGATTAAATAATACTTTTGACCAGTGAAATATAACTTTCGGCCACATGTTTTTATAAAACTAATTGTTAGATTTATTAAATATTATATCTGTCATATTACATATATTATATATTACATATAATTCAAGAAAATTCCTTTATTTGGTCAAACATTTTTTTAATTAATTTTTACTTTAAAATGATAAAATAAAATAAACTTTTTGACTTATTTCCATGAGAAAAAAAGTATATTACCAAACTTGACATAACTTGTTACTTGTGTACAATATATATAACTAACCAGTCATTACACCAAATCTATAACTCACACCATCTTGATTTATCAAGCTTGAATAGGTACCAAACAAACATCATGAAATTTCAATCCCTTGTTTTTCTCCTGTTTATTTTGTTGGCTTCAGCCACCATGAATCAAGCTATAGCAGGAGGTTGGGAACCCATTGGGAACATTGGTGATATACGCTATATTCGAATGGCCAATTTCGCAGTCACGCAGTATGACAGGCAAGTAGGAGCAAAATTGGCGTTTGAGAGACTTAACAAGGTTGAATACCAGGTTGCTGCCGCCAGGCAATACTTCCGCCTCCATCTTTCTGCAAAAAACGGTCCATTTTCTAACAATTATGAAGCTATTGTGTGGCTACCGCAATTGAGCTTGGTACTACACCTTGATTCCTTTAAACGTATTTGAATTATTAAATGTTGCTTATTTTGTTTTCTTCTAGCATTGTTAGCATGTATGCCTTATTATCATGTCAATAAAAGTTTATCATAATGGATTGTGGATCAAGCAAGTTCTATGATACAATCGTTTAATTATCTGTGTGCAAACTTTCTTGTTATGATTTTATGAAAATTTTCTTGAATAAATCACGGATTCATAATGTGTTATGTAGTGTTAGTTTGAACCAAATCGATTGAGCCCGACCCTTTCATTAA